ATCAGGCTGGCGCGTTTGAGTCTGTATACGCTTTGGCTCTCCGAGGATCCGAGCCCGAGATACGAGGTGGTTGTCGTCTCTGGCTAATGGGATGCCGCCGACACTCTCTGCTCGTCCGAGTCCCTTTGATCCTGACCGACCTTGCCCTCGCCTCCATGCACGCGGTGTGACTCCCGCGTCCCCGTCTCTCTCTCGTCGCCGCGGTCTCTTCTCGCTCGCTCCTCTCCTCTTTCCTTTTTCTTTTCTCGCGCCGCGCACCCACCCTGACCTTATCCACTCTGGCCGGTCGGGAATTTTCATGGTGGTCGCGAGATTCTCCCGCGTCCCGCGCGCGAGTATCTATTTACATGCCCGACGCGCGAGTACGTGTCCCGCAATTCGTGTAAACTCGCAGATCTCGGTGACCGTATATAAGGTTATCGAACGTTTTCGAGAATGACGGAGGTCTTTCTTCTGACCAAAAATCAAGTGTCGTTGCCTCGACGATTTTCAAACTCGATAGACTTCGAAAAGATGAAAAGTTTCGCACGGTATTCTGTAACTTTGACCTATTTTCTTAAATCTACGCTGCATCACCGTGGCTGCTGTGACGCCTACGAAGGACTCCGTTCGTTACACAACCAATTTCTATATTAGATTATTATTACTAGAACTTGTCTTTGGCAAAGATGATTACCTTTCGAATTAGAAGCTTGTTAGAAGTAAAGTTAGTTTTTATTTGTAATTGAATGTAGAATAAAATTTCCTCATTTTGATTGCTGCATTATCCGCTTATTATTAAAGCTAATTATTAATAGTTGATTATTAAAGAGACTAGCAAAAGCACTCTAAAAAATAATGTTTGATAATTTCAAAATTTATCAATATCTTTGTATGAGAATTTTTATCTATAATTAGATGAGTCTATCAATTTTTACCTTTAAGTTTTCGTTTTGTCTTATTTTCTATGTTTATTACTTTTCCTTTCTTAAATCCATTGGTTAAAACAAACGACCTTAGGATATTTTATGTTAATTCGATAGAGATAGATCTTTAAGCAAAAGCCAAAATCTTGCTAAAAAATTTATTGATTTATTGCGAGTGATTAATTGAATGATTATTAGAAAAAATTCTTATTTCCTATTCTTAGTTTCTTTTTCTTAACCGTTCGTTAAAACAACCGTTTTGTAGTTTTGAAAAAGACTAAAGTCTTGACATTCTTTATCTAAAAGCTTTATCTAAACAAAAGCTCTTTTTATACTTATACTATATGTATATACATATGCATGTATATGTTATATAACTTAACCGTGGCGAAGGTAACTCTATCTTTGAAAAATAATTATTTTAACCAATTAGTGACAATTAACGTCTAATTATACTTATCAGTTGATAAACGGAACGGAATGACAGTGCATAGCTAATTTTCCTTTTCAGCGTGAATGACAAAAATATGAAAATTGTACAAGTAGGTGGTAGTGACGTGTCAAGTAAGATGACGGGTTTGATATCTCATTTGTAACATTTATGAATAAGTTGTGAAGTATATTCATAAATAAATGCATAATAAATGCATAATAAAGAGAATCACGTTATACATAATTGTACTTGTTATTCCCATTGTACTTGTTAGCAATTGAGGCGTTTGCGTTTCCACACATTTGTAAATTCTCTTAAATTACATTCAATTTCTTTCCGCGGAATTAAGAAAATATTGACATGGAGATGCTAGGAATCAGAGAAAAATATTCATGGGAAAATATTTACGGTATACAGGAATAAGTATATATTTAACAAAGGTATGTACACATTGAATGTTTAATAGACACACTAGATGTAACTAGCTCTCTGTTTCTTTCTCTCTGAGTCAAGCGTCTTTATTACAATTTCTTATAATTTACCTTTTAACGCGTATCAACATACTCGCGCATTTCCCACGCTTAAGCTCATTGCTGCAGCCATAACGCGCGGATATCTAAACGCGTGAGACGCGTTCGACGCACCTATTTTTAGAGATGAAGGCACACACACCTGTACAGCGCCGAACGTGTATCAAATGAATAACATTATATTTGATAAAATATCATCTAATGTTTGTACATCTCATAATAATATCCAGCTCTCGCAATAGTATCGTTCAAATTTTGTGAAAATCTCACGCGGCTACCGACACCCCAGCGCACGAGGGATCGGCGTCGCGGCGAGAAGGAAAAAAAAAGGTAGGATCGTCGTCCATCGAGCGAGCGGACTCCGCGAATTCCCGGCCGCCGCACCGCACCGCGTCAGGGCGCAGAATCCGGTGTGGCGGACACCGCCGATCGCGGACGGTCTCGCCGTCGGTTCTCTGGGCGGAGTTCCGGCGGCGAGACGGTAGACGCGCGCCGCCCAGGCGTGTACGCCCCTGATGATCCTCGACGCGGCTTCGTTGGCGCACTCCTCTCCTCGTCGCCGCGCCGCGCGCTCGCTGACGCCTTGCTCACGCACGCACTCGCGTGACGACGCGTCTCGAAGGAAGCGTCCGCGGTCGCGCGGCGCCCGATTTCGATTTTCGAGCGCGGCCCTCGCGCAACGCCGGTCGGCGTGTCGTAGATAGAGACTCGCGAGCGATATATCGAAAGCTCTACAATTTTTTTCGCGCCGTCGACAGCGCTTTTCGACCCGTCTCCCCCTCCCCCCCGTGCTGTCTACGAATTATACCGTACTCTCGTTAAGTGGATTAATTTAACCGCGAGTTAACCTCTGGTATCTCGCTTCGATAACTTTTTTTTTTAAGTAGTACTTCCATGCGTATACTGTCGCAAGTCGAAAGTACGGTTGGTGTATCGAATGGTATTGCTCTCTTTTCGGAAAACGTTAAATATTTACATAGAAAATTTATGCAAAACATATTTGTATCGACGATGTTTATTTAAATGCGATAAATTGATCGTTTTAATTGTATTTTGAAGTTTAATTATACGTCTCGGTAATGTATGTAATATTATGGAGAGCTATAAATAATTTCGCGAGGATAATTTCCTCAATACTATATATATAAAACAAGTTTCGCCTCATGGATTTGTTAACATATTCACGATCGTAGTATAATATCACACGTGATGTGAGCGAATATACGTTAAACTTTTTTTAGGAAAACATTAAATTTTTATGAAAATGATTTGTGAAGTAGTGACAGTAGAAAATGAATTAAAATAAGAAACTAAAGAAAATTTATTAACATTAAATTACAAAAAAAAATCTGAGAGAAATTATCAATTTAAATAATATTCTTTATATTAGATACAATATTAGATACGATCAAAAATATTGTATAAATTAAGCTACGGAATTCTTATATCAAACAGTTAATAAAAGAGAAAATAGTGAAATAAAAAATTAAATTTTTATATAAAATATTAATATAATAGAATTTTGAGTTAATAACTTATTACATAAATTTTACAAAAGAGAAACTGATGAAATAAACAAAATAACATAAATTAATACATAGATAAGCATTTACCATATCTGTCAAACAGAAAATATAATATTGTACTATTTACCATTAATTCGCGAATAAATAGTATTATGCTTCAACTAAAATGTTAATTAAAGTAATGATATGTATACGTGCAAAATCGTCTTTATTAAAATAAAAAAAATTTAATCTTAAATTAAAAAAAAATCTTATTTAATGTTTCCTTCCGTTACAAAGAAACGGAGAAGAACTTAAATTCTAAATTAACTCTGAAAATCTGGAGTTCGTAGTTTGCATTGGAAGCACTGGACAATAAAATGGAAGAGACAATTTTTTGTTAGTGGAAAGAATTGCGCATTATAAATTATTTGTTTCCTAAAATTTCTTTTTAAATTATTCTTCTATATACACTGTTAAATCTATAGTGTTAAACTGAACCTTATTTAAGTCGCCACTGCTCCTACTTAATAAATAGTTATTTTTTACTAAAACAATGGAGTTAAATAATTTACGATTATAATTAAACAGTTAACAGTCAAATTTAACCCAAATTTGGATTAAATTTTATTGTTTTATTTAAAAGTAATCATATTGTTTTAGTTAAAAATAACTATTTATTAAGTAGGAGCA